GCATTGCAAGGGTTAAATGTTTGTTTTTGTCAAGTGTAGTATTAAAAAGCATGTTTACTTATCTTTCGCTTCTCTGGTGGACGGCACTCTACCAGTCTTTTGCAGCATCCCCCCCTTTGATTACATGCAGCCGTGGGCGGGGAATTCCCCAGTAGGAGCTGATTGGGCGGCAGTGGAAGGAGAGTGAGGGGGGAAAAAACAGGGCATTTTGACAAGTACCTGTACTTGTCAAAATGCCCCGATGCCTGCGCTATGTTTTTTTTCTATACTTACCTTCAGTGCAGTTGCATAGGACAGGAGCTCAGGTTCGGACTAGGTTTGGACAGACAGGCTACGCCTCCCTCTTATATCCATATCTATTTCTCCTATCTATAGGAGACTCTACTGTCAATATCTCTGATCCTGCCATACCAGCCATAGAGTCTCACTTTTGCTTACCGCAATCTCTGTAACATCAAAAAAAGAGACCTCCTGGTCAGAGCCGAAGCTAGGGGGATGTTGAGGGGGCATGTCCCCCGGGTGCCACTTTAGGAGGGGTGCTACCAGGTATGTGGATGGAGAACTTCTCCCTTGGGGGGGAGCAACTCTGAGCCATTGCCCCAGGTGACAGAATGTCTAGCTTCCCCACTGCTCCTGGTAAAGATGTTGTTAGGTGGGATTTTTGTGTAGACACTAGGGATGCACCGATACCGATACTAGTATCGGTATCAGTGCCAATACCAAGTATTTGGGTGAGTACTCGTACTCGCCCAAATGCTCCGATGCCTAGCCCGATACTTCTGGTATCAGGAAGCCGGGCAGCGAGTCATTACACGCTCTCGGCTTTCTGATCGTCACTTCTGACGAGGGAGCATGGAGCCGACTTCCAGGCTAATCAGGAAGCCGGGCGCCGTGTAATGACTCGTTGCCTGGCTTCCTGACTGGGCAGCTTCTCGACCACTCAGGAAGCTGGGCAACGCGTCATTACACAGCACCCGGCTTCCTGATTGGCCAGAAAGCCGGCTCCATGCTCCCTCGACACCAGGTGATGAGGGAGCATGGAGACGGCTTCCCTGCTAATCAGGAAGCCAGGTGGCGACTCTTTACACGCGGCCTGGCTTCCTTAATGGGACTTCCGGTATCGGTATCCTGTATCGGCGAGTACCGTAAAAAAAAAATATATCTGTACTTGTGCTTGTTACCGAAAAAACGGTATCGGTGCATCCCTAGTAGAAACCCTTGCCACTTTTTCGCCAGGGGTTGAAAGTGGTCTAACAAGCCAGCGGGCAATTGGGGAAGTAAAAAAATCTTGCACCAGGGCCCATTTTTCCAGACCTCCACTATGACTGGGCTCTGGTGCTTCGTACAAAATTCC